GGCCGGTGATGTCCTCGATAAGCGCGCACCCGTTGCCGGCAAGGAGTACCTGCACTTGCTAGGTGAGGTCCTCGATAAGCGCGCCGCTGGCAAGGACGCCGATGTCCTCGATAAGCGCGAGACTCAGCAAAAGTGATGCGAAGAAAAAAGACCTACACGTGCCCGCACCCGTCGCTTCGCTTCGGTGCTGGGTAGCTAGTATAGCCCTTTAACCACTTTTCATATACACATTTTTAGATAGTATATAATTATTACTATTGTAAAATACAAGATATAAATAATTAAGGGTATTATAAATTATTATATTTTCTTATATAAAAAGAGTATTACTAGGTAGATAGTACTATATTGCTAGGTAGCTAGGTATATCTAATTCTATATAGTACTTGTTCTATATCGTAAGATATGTATATATATAGAAGTATTATTGATAGCATATACCGCCGCTACCGCTGCTATTGCTGCTACTATCGATATTAAAATTTCTTATAACGCTGCTAGTGTTATTACTAGGTCTCTAAGACTACTTAATCATTGCTATTCTAGTTAAAACACGCCTTTTTACTTAGGCTAGATAAAGGTTTCTTTTATAACTACAGAAGCTATTAGTTAGCTTATAGTAGTAGTAGCTAAGTAATAAAGAAGAAGCCTATAAAGATATATAGAGTATATAGAGCTATTATTAACCTACTATTATTTTATTATAAGTTTGTTTTATTTCGTATATTATATTAATTACTCTACAATAATTAAGAATATAATTTTTATATAGTTAAGACAATTTCAAGTCTCTCTCTAGTTATGAAATTTAAATCTTTTAAAGTCTTATTAAATTTATTATACTCTTCTGATAATAAATTATACTTTGTTTTATAGGGACCTACTTACTTGGTACGACTTCATGCTATCGGTAGACACCTCGTTAGCACGTCCAAAAGCCAGCCCTAAGGCGCAAACGGATGTAATCAATTCAATTCAATTCCTAAGAAAGTTACTCACTGTGCCTTGAAGATGAGCCATCGTTACATGATGCATCTCGTGGCACATCCAAAAATCCTTGACTCTCTTCATCCACCGGGGCAGGTTTCTCATCGGGGCGATCCACTGAGCGGATTTGGAAGAGCATAATGGTGGCTAGCCCACAGAGCAAAAATGAGCAAAGATACGGCAAGCCGCGGCCAACACCATGCAGAGTCAGGCTCCAGCTGAATGTTTTTGCCACGATTGGTCCAGCAAGTAGAGTTCCCGTCGTATCCATGATGGCGACCGAGGTCAGAAGTGTGCCTATCATGTCTTTCTCGACCAAGGCGCTTGCGAGAGAGCGGGCAAAAGATCCAAAGCCGCTTCCAAAGGTATAGAAAACTAGGGCTAACACGCAGTGCGGTCAGCAAGACTTCTTTAATTTGGCACGCCAAAAGAGGGCAGAATTACTTACCGAGGGCAACCATCCACACCTGGGGCGCAACGACAAGTAGCCCAAAGCTCAACATGAATAGCACGATGCTGGCGCGACATAGTTTGAGGTCTTTCAATCGCGGCGAGACGCCGAGTTTCCTGACCATGTACGTATCCAATGCAGGCAAGATGAGCGCAAATGTAATGAGCTGTGCAAATGCTCTAAATGAGAGTAGGTAGTTTGCCTGTCGTGAAATGTGTTAGAAAGCAGTCCAACCCCCAAAACCTTACGTCCAACAGCGGAAATACCTTGGCAATTGTTAAAGAATATCTGGTTGAGGTGAACTGGAGCAGCACAGAGAGAGACTGCCGCGAGTAATCCATCACTAGAAAGGTAGCAACGAGCAGAACAAGACTCCTGTTACTGGCAATATGTCGGATCGTAGTCGAAATATGGTTCCACGTGGCTCTCAGGCGATTCTGAAAACCCTCTGGCTCATCCTCTGAGCCATTCTCATCTTTGGCCCTTGCCTTAGGCTCTAGCGTTTCCGGGACGGAGCCTGCTAGGAGCATGGTCGCCACAGTGCACCCCAGCCCGAGAAGAATTGGAATCCAAAGGTTGATTTCCATGAGTTTCGAGGAAATCAGAGGTCCAATGAGCTCAGCAACTATCAAAACAGTTTGCGCCAAGAAAAACACTTGAGACCTATGAGCACATTCGAATCAGTTGACCGACTTTAAAAGGTCCTTTACAGCAGTGAATTACTTACCTCTTGTCCTCTGAAGTTGCGTCCGTGAGAATCATCATGCCAACGGCGCTTGTCACTGTAGTCCCGCCACCAATTATTAAGCAGAGGGACGAAAGCCACATAAGCTTCAGTGGCCACTCAGTCCAGGCTACAGGAGTCGCAGTCAGTTGCCAGCACTGAGATGAGACGGAAAAAGATGGGCGCAGTCGACTGACAGATGAACAAAACCCAAGTCAAGCCGATGGTCTGCCCCAGCATGCTCAGGAAAAGCACACCGCGGCGGCCATGCTTATCGGCAAGGACACCAAAGTACATGGCGAGGACCAGCCCGGGAATGCCGTCAAAGAAGGTCTGCCAGCCAAAGAGCTGTGCAACAGCATCTTGCACCGGGCGTTCTTTGCACATGTCCTCCGATGGGCTCGTCAGCCCAAGCGTGGACAGGGTCTTTGCCGAGTAATACTTTCGGCACACAATGTCCTCTATCAGGCGCGTCTGTGGAGCTGCGGACATGACATAACCGAAGCCGTCAATCAGAAGCATCAGCAGGAGGACGACGATGGGGTGCCAATATGTCTTTTCTCGAGAAGCATTTTGTTTTTTCGGTTGCCTATCGCAGCTGAATATGCTGTCGCTGTCATGGCCCTCAGTGATGTTCGATGTATGCATCTTGAGGGCTGTTGTAGATGTGGTGCCGTACGTCATCGGCAGGCGCTGCTCCTTTGCAGATTCCATTTCTGATACTGTTTCGAGTTTGTGTACACTTTTTGGTGCTTGGATTTATATGGCATGTTACGGCAGCATCTTCAAAAACCGACGAATTGATGCTCACAGCTACCCAAGGCTGCCTCCACAATGATCACGTATCACAACAATATCAATGAAATCGGTAATCTCACAAATCTCGGCGCGCGATTGTCCAGTGATCTATCCGTGAGCTGAGTCCGTCAGCTTATCAAGTTGGCATATTGCGTGTATGGTTACGTGTAAGCTGATGCCGGGCAGCCCACTTCCTGATTAGGAAACTCCCACCACATTCCGGCCGAGCTCACATAACCGCTTCCTCTTCTCATTTCACAAGTGTTTCTTATTGTCATCCATCATTTCACATAAGCTGCAATAGCTAAATATCCCATGATAGGTACAGCTCTAAGAACTGACAAGCAATGGCTTACAATATATATACCTCGCCCTTGTCAAAACCATGGCTGCCATCATATGACCAGCATCTCACAAACCTTTCAGATTTACACATCTTCAACTCTGAACCCTTCTACCTACGCCCCTATCACTGCCAGCATGGATCACTACTCGTCTATGGAAGCCCTTCTCCCTTGCTACCTCCACCGGCCCAAGGACCGGGAGCGTGTTGTTGTTCCGCAATTCGAGCACCGTCTCAACCTCTGCCGCGCATGGAAGATTCCCACCGGCGCCCGCATTCTAGACATTGGCTGCGGCCAGGGTGAGTCGACTCTGATCCTAGCCGATGCGGTCGGCCCAGACGGGCACGTCACGGGCGTTGATACCGCGCCGGCCGACTACGGCGGTCCGGTCACCGTCGGCCAGGCGCAAAGTTTCATTCTCAAGTCGCCATACGCGAGCCGCTTGACCTTTGAGCGCGCAGAAGTCATTGAAGTTCTGCAGCGCGTCAACGATAAGACTTTTGACAAGATTCAGGTACAATCATCTGCGCAAAACGCATCCACAACTGAAGAGAACGCCGTCAATCACCTACCACCCTCCCCCGGCCCAGAGCCCATCTTTGACGGCGCAGTCTTTCTACACAGCCTCTGGTACGCCCGCTCCCGGGAAATTGTCGCCTCGCTATTTACTATGCTTGCCAACGCACGGATCCCACGTATCTATATCGCAGAGTGGATGTGCCAGGCAAACAAAGTCGCCCAGGAGCCGCACTATCTCGCTGCGCGCGCCCAGATGCTGCTGCACTCGTACAAGGCTGTCGAGGACAAGTCACCGCGTTTAGACGAGCAGAATATCCGTGCCGCGTTGCCCCCAGACGAGCTATTTCGGATTGCTACAAAACACGGGTGGAAACTTGCCAACCGAGGCGAGGTGAGCATGCCAGATGGGTATATGGAGGGTCACTGGGAGGCCCAGTTTGTGTCATCGAGCGCGTTTACTAGCGCCATGGAGCGCGAGACCATGACTGAGGAGCAGGCAAAGGAGCTACGCGCGTATGCAGAATTGGTCAAGGGCGCATCAGAGGCCGTAAGGAGGAGCGGGAAAATGGTGGAGAGTATGAATGTCGCGTGGGCTGTGCTAGAGCTCGACTCGTAGATTTGTATGACGATATCGGAGCTTTGAATAATCTTGCTCTTGTTCTACAAGTGTGCAACTTTGAGTCTATTCAGCTTCGTAATCGATATACATGAATAGCATTGATAGAAAAAAAAAAAAGAAAGTAACGATCATATACTGCTGCTGAATCTCATGAGAAACTACTGACCTGAGGTGCTTGTCGACACAAACAAGCTGTTTCGCTTTATGACCTCGGCCGCTGCACCAAAATCTACCAGTTTTCCCTTATTCATAACTGCAATCTTGTCATATTTGGCTGCAGCCTCAACACGATGCAGCACAGACAAGGTTGACTTGCCCTTCAGGCGACGGGCCATGGCCTCCTCAACTTTTGCTTCCGTTTCCGCATCCAAGCTAAATTGAGGAAAGCGGATGTCAGTGGTTGTAACATGAGAAAGCAAAGACAAGGTTGGATAAGCTCACCTGCTCGTTGCCTCGTCAAGGACAATGAGCCCACCCGGTTTACCACCGTCGCTGAGGATCAGCCTCGCAATAGACAACAGCTGGACTTCTCCATTCGACATGTTTGTGTCGATGCGCTTTGCACCGAGACCCCCAGACTCACGAATCTTGTCCCAAATTTCACACTCTTTAAGCAATGTGACAATCGCGTCGTCGGAGAACTGATGCTCGGGATCGAGCTCCTGGCGGAAAGTAGATGAATCGACAAAGGAGTCCTGCGAAATGACGCTGAACCTCTGCCGCAGCTGAGACATATTTATGGTAGAGGTTTCCACGCCATCAACAATGATGCGCCCTTTTGGCATGCGTATCATACCCATAAAGGACAAGAGGAGCGTTGATTTGCCAGAGCCAGTCTTTCCACAGACGGCGACTCTCTCCCCAGGTAGAATCTCGAGTGAGACGTCATTCAGATTCCACACCGGAGCATTGCCAGTCTTCTCATCTTCTGATGCATACGTGGCATGGATATTCTCGATCTGGACGTGGCCTTTGGACGGCCACGCGTCCGAGACGACCGTCTTCTCCTGACCGTCCGCGATCTCTTTGGGAGTATCGCGCTCAAATACGGCGATGCGGGCAATTGCTCCGAGAGAGGTCTCTAGAGATGTCCATGCAATGATGAAATTTGTGAGGGTTGATCCGATTGTGGTAACGTTGAGAAAGGCGACTCCAACAGCGCCGGCAGCGACCTTGCCGCGAAGGCCAACAGCAACACAAGCAATAGCAACGGCGAGTCCTGCGACCACAAGTTCGAGAACGAGCTGCAGCCACCGCTGCGCCATAAAAAGTAGGTAAAATGGCTCTTGTGAGCGGTCAAACTTTTCACTGAATTTTTGCCGCATCTCCCCCGTAAAGCCGTTGGCACGGATCGTGATCAAACCGGATGCCGTTTCTCCAAACTTTGTATGAAGCATGCCTTTGGATTCAAGGTCCAGGTTTCGCAACTGCTTTGAAGTACGAAGATATACCTTCTGTATTATATACAGGACAATGGCTGCGACAGGAATGACAGCCAATGCCTCGTTGGCGACCACGGCAATCAGGATCAGCTGAAACATGGCAGTGAGCAGCTCCGCAACAGTATTGAAGAGGTCCAATGGCAAGAAGCCGTCAACAAAGAGCAGATCTTGGTTGAAGCGATTCAAGAGGCTTCCCGTATCAACACGGCTAATGTAAGAGAACGGCGCCCCGAGCGTAGTCTTCAGAAGGGCAGCGTGCAGAGATCTCGCCGAAGCTGGAACAACGCCCAGCATAAGGTGCCTAAAATTGCTGTTAGAAACAAATACTGTTGAGATAATGCAGGATTGGAGAAGAAATTACATTGCCCAAGCGAATATAGTAATGAGAGGCAGTATCTCAATAAGAGCGAAGTAACCAAGCCAGTAACCGTTGCCACGTGTATCGCCGTTGGCCAGCGCATTTGACCACCATTGCACCCACAAATCTAATATTTGGTAAGCACATGCAAGTTGGACACAAAGCTAAGAGCTTACTGGGAAACATGAAAGCCAGTGCGAATATAATTCCAGTGAGCAGAAAGATGATAGCGTTCGGATATCCCATGGCGCGAATGTACCGAAGATACACTAACCTGTCGCCAATCAACTTGCTGCCCTCTACCGTGTTAGATTTGGTTTCAGCGGTGGAATCCGTTTTCATGGCCTCGGTCTCACTCGGAGCAGGGTCAGTCCCGGTTGACGCGTTGCGGTCCTTACTGGCCTCCTTTCCGGCATCTTCTTCGTCCGAGGGCTCTTCTTCAATCTCGGCTGCAGAGACCTTGTTCAAAGAGCCATCCTTTCGAATCTCGTAGACCTCATCTGCAAGAGCAGCGAGGTTTTCTGAAAGAAAGATCAGTTTCTTGTTGACGCACAGCATCATCATGTATACTCACTGTCGTGCGTAGTGTAGATGACTGTAGTTTTTAGTTGGCGCAGAAGACCTTGCGAGCCCAATAGCTTTGTCGCGACACGCTTCTTGGTCCGTCGGTCTAGGGCGCTAAACACGTCGTCTAGAATAATTATCTGCTTCTTCGCAAAAAGTCCACGAGCAAGAGCCTAAAGAATACTTGTCAGATGCATATCATACGCAGGGTGGGTAGCAATTGCAGTCAGTGTTGAGCCCCGACTTACCAAGCGCTGCCGCTGACCACCACTGAGCCGCACACCGCCACTGCCCACAGTACCATGACGGTAATCAGACAGCTTCTCGACGTCTTCGAGAGCACAGGCATGCTTGACCTTCTCCAGCCAGCTCATGTCGCTACTAGCAACATACTGAGTCCAATTCATTTCAGCCGAGACATTCTCCAGCCACGCAGTCTGGCCACAATAGGCTACGCTTCTGTTGGTAACGGCGACCGTGCCACCCAATAGTTCGGCTTCACCAACAATGGATTTCATGAGAAGAGACTTTCCTGAGCCAACGCGACCAACAATAGCAATCTGCGAGCCTTGCTCGATTTTTAGATTGACGTTTTGTAAGATGGACTTTTCGGTAGTCCATCCAAATGATGCGTCTTGCAAACTCACGGCAAGCGTAGCGTCCGTATCTGGTGTCGCGGTTGCAGTTCCGCAGCCGGCAATTGCTTTCACTGTATTTCTTGGCTCCGTAATCTTCATAAAGTCATGAATTCGTTTGAAACACCCATACGCCGAGCCTATTGTTGGAAGGCCTTGCAGGAGGTGGATAAGCGGTCCGCCAAGAAGAGAAATGATGACGAGAGACGAGAACATCCTCGTAGTGTCAAGCTCAGCATGCGCAGCGCCTGATATGCCAACGTATGCAGCAAAAACCAACAAAGGAGCGATAGTTAACATGCAGTAAGCTACATGTCGTTAGCAAATGCACAAAGAGAGAGACGCCTCGGGAGACACTTACACAAAAGCACACTCACGCAGGCCAATGTCCGGAAGTACTTGGCGGAATGAATCTCTAGATCCCGAAAGTCCTTGACTACGGCACCGACGCGCTCTTCCGAGCCCATCATCTTGACTGACTTCATAGAGTCCAGCAGCCTCTTGGTGGCACCGATTCGTGTCTGAACTGCGCTCAACCAAGCTTGCTGCTGAACGCTCAGAATGCGAGCTATCCAGACGCTACATCCTCCGCACACTATCCAAGGAATTAATATAGTTTCTTCAATTTAGCAAGCGACAAGACATACCAAGTCCAAGCCCGAGCATCGTGAAGCAGGCGACTCCAATTTGTCGGTACAGCAGATACGTTGCCAAAGAAGTCTCGATGATGCCTACAAAGACCTCGTATATAAACTCTGCGCCTTTGATAATGCGCTGCACGTCAGAAATCATCAGGGTCATTGCGGTAGACTCTATGTTGCTGTCTTCGCGCAGTCGCAGAACTTTTTCGAATATGGCCGTAACGAGGCCACCGCGAATCATGGTGGCGTTTCTAAAGACTTGTCGCCAATACAAGCTGGTGGAAACCTGTTTCAGGTATGTGAATACACATTGAAAAGAGTCAAGCTTGCGGTATAGTGGGGGAGACTTACAGCGATGCCCAGGTAGACCAGAAAGCAAGCACCTATCAAACCAATACCGTTGTTCATAGGCGCATCATCATCATTGAGATAGTTGAGCATGGCCTCGACGAAAAAGGTCTGTGAATATGTAAATCCGGTCAAGGCTAGTCTAGGGAGCATTGGCTTGAATGTAGACAAGCCAAGACATTTGAGAGTGAGAAGAGCGAGCTTGAACGGGGAATCCACTAATGAGTAAAATATTAACTTCTTGATCGCGCCAACAGTACAGAACCAAGGTAGTTACCGATTGTGCCATTCACAAGGGGAGCAAATCTCTTTCTGAGGCTATCAGCATACAGCTCTTTGTCAATAGGCCCGACATCTGCGGGCTGGAAGCTCCTTTTGAATCCGATGAAGAAGAGCGAGTTGAGCCAGAAGAAAAATGCCTTGCTGATGGGGCCGGCGCTTTCCTCAGATGATGTTCTTTCCGAGCTGAGTGAAAGATGGCTTTTGTTCTTGGCTTCCAGGCAGAAGGCAAGCGTCTTGACGGCACAGTCCGCAGTCAGAATAGCAGCCAGCGCTGATTGAGGCATCAGCCAGTACGTTCGTGCGCGGACAACACCGAAGAGAACAGTGAAGAACAGGTAAGCAAGTAGTACGTTGGACGGACGGGTGCTTTTCGTATGCTCATAGGGGGAGAGGCCAGCGGCGGCGAGACTGGCGAAAAGTGACAACGCAGCAGCCGCAATGGAAGTAGTAGTCTTGGTCCCGTCCTTGATGCTTTGCATGATGAGGAAAGCAATGCTTAGGCCCGATGAAACTACGAGAGTTGCCTACATACAACCAACATTGTCTTCCATCAGCTGCACATCGGCAAAACTCCTCAAAATGTGACTTCGCAACTTACGGTCTTGGCTGTAACAGCCCAGTCAGTCTTGGTAACCGGAGCTTCACGCAGCAGAGCGATGGCACGGAGAAAAGCCAACAGGATAAAGACAATGCACGGAAGTAGAGTGAGAATAGTCTCTTGGAAGAGGAGCGTAAAGTCAAAATGGGAGCGGCAGCCCCGGATCGCGGGCCCAAACGCCTGATCGGCGGAGGCGGGGCAAACGCGTGCAAACTGGCGATGTTTGATGGAGAGGATGTTCTCCGTCGCAAGAAGCGAGATGTTGACAGCGACGGACGCCATTGTCCGTCAAATGAACACAACAAGAACCCTCTGCTGTATTATCCTCGTAGTGACACTTTGAGATGGGGAAGCGAGAGCCAGAGTAGACAAATGAAATGAGTGATCGTGTGGCCAACTGAAAGACGGAGCGACAGAGGTACACAACGACGGAACAAAAGACGTCAGTCTTGGCTGGGCGTCCGGAGCTTCGGCTGCAAATAGCCAATAGACGTGATGCAGACGGGAATTCGAGCGAGGGAGGACACTGCAAGGTCTAGTTGCTCTGGCCAAGAGTGGTTTTGGGGAGGGGAAGGGTTATACTTATTGCCGTCTCAGCTCCAGCCTTGATATCAGCAAAGCTGTTCTTATCGCAGTAAAACTGTGGACCCATACCTTCATTAATGTGAATTAATTACTTTGTCTTATTTAAAAATCATTACTCAAGTTTTTTCTTAACACTATTTAATATATCCTTTAATATCTAGAAATTAAATATTAAATTCTTTTAGAAATTTAACTAGATCTCTTATTAGATATAAACAAATTCTATTTTAAATAGATCTTTCTTAGTAAATTACTATAGGCTGTAAAGCTATATAGGCTCTTTAACTATATAGTACCCTCCTTGGAGAGGTGGGTGTGTGGGTGGCAAGTTTAATCTGAAATACAGCATTGATCGATAACTATCTTAGCGGGATCTTCGGCCTCTTCCCCGTTCCACTTTGGCCTACGGATACCTCGGTTGGCGATCGCTAGCTGGTTCGTCACTCAACCCCAGTTTCCCCCAATAACTGACTGACTAATTTACTGATTGACTATTTACTGATTGACTAATTTACCATGCGAGCAATCCCACTTGGGTTCTATCGGGACCCCGTCTTTCCCTCCCGGACTAGCTATTTCGGCGATGGGGCGCGACTCGAGCCACCTGCCAGCTCCAGTTTCTCTTGTAAGTTGTCGTCCAACCACGAGTGATAATCAAAGCGCACTCACACCCAGGATAGCGAACTGCTGCAAACCGATTTGGAAGCCTGGCAGGCCTGGCTGGACCAAAAGTCTTCGCAGTACTCCCCGCAATATTGCTTTCTACCCACCCCAGAACTACGCATTTCAGAATAGCGGAGAGACACTACGTTAGAACGAGGGGGTAGTCAACCCAAGAGGAAGGGCTCGCTCAACAAGGTGAAGGGGCATGTGTGCACGGAGTCTCTGCAGTTTGTCCGCACGAAACGGATTCGCCATAGTTCCTGTCCTGGTGTGATGCACAGCTCCTCTTGCTAGGGTCTTTTAAACATGTCAACCCCAACGCAAGTCTTGTCAACTAATCTGTAGCCTGTCCGTAGTGGCTGTGTGGGCGCACCCACGTGGAGGCGCCTGGGCCTAATTTATGCATAAGTCTTTCACCACTTATTGAATCCGCAACACAAGACGCTGACTTCGAGGAATACACAAGACATGCAGGAGGTTTGGGCCGGCGCATTCGGCGATAGATAGCTCTGGCGTGCCTCGGACTGTTACCATCATATGCAGAATTGATCAGAGATTGCGCCAGTTTCTTTCTTATGATTATGGTATTTTTCTACTATTAATAATATGCGATGAAAGCGGCTATGTCGTCAGCAAATATAGTATTGAGTAATCCCGTAAGTCAACCCACAAATTGGTTGCCAAGACTTGCAATTGTGCTATCGCTAGGCGGAGCGCCTATCTGCACCCAACCACTTATCGGAACGCCAAAAAAAGTGGCGAAAGGAGCCTGAGGTTGAAGGGAGGGCGGCTTCTCGTGGGCAATAATTAGGCGTCTTATTTAGTTAGCGGTCGCAATTGAGTCTCGCCCCTCCCATATATCCTGTTCCTTGAGAGGCGCAGACGAGTTCCGGCACTCCCTACTAATAGCCACCGCCAGCTAGTTATCCAGGCAACTGAAAGAGGGAGGTGGGCAGAGAGCAAGCAGGATGTCAAATCAGGCTGTCGGGGGGTTGGTCGCAAAAAAAATAGCCTATTATACCTTATAAACTTATAAGGAGAATATGAGCTATCCCTTCTGCAGCTCCTGCAGGCTCTGCAGCCTGGTCTTTGACTAATAAGTGCAGAGTTGCAGGCAAACAGCGTGGCTCGACGCTTTTTGGGGCACATGCACGGATTTTCCAAATTACCGCGTAAGTTGCCATGAAACCAATCAGTATATAGAGTTATAGATAGCCTACTCTCCTTATTTCGCGACCTTCTCCATTATTATTAGATCTCAGTGTCTGCTCTATTACCTGTATCTCTCCTCGTCCGCTCAGCCGCTTCAGCTTCAGCCTCTCTGATGGGCAGCACTACACCACGCCGGCTCCTACCTCTCACTAACTGGTTACGCCGCTGGTCCCCCCTCCTACTTTCTGCTCGAGTTATTCATTGGAGATATGGAGTCCACAGACTATGAGTCACGGCGCAAGACGCAAAACAGAGAAGCTCAGCGTCGTTATAGTAAGTACACTCGTAGCCGCTCAATGGTTCCTACCTCCTTCGTCGTTGCCTGCTTACAAGAAGAACAGGACAAAAGCAAAAAGACCGCGTCAGCCAGTCTCAATCCAGGGAAATGGACACTGACTCGGGCATGCAGCTCAATGGCACTGGCGAAGACTGGCCAGGCAGCTACGGAGTCAATGAAGTCGGCTACGCAGATCATATGACATTTGAGGACGGGACCTCGCTAATGGACCATGCTGGTGACAGTGTCAACATATTTCCAGTATGTCGCGCAAACATTCTCTTTGTGTTCTGCCTGTTCCTGTTCACTGCCGCCGCCGCCCATAGCACCATGAAACTTGTCCTGCCGCGAAAATGGTCCGGACCAGGCTTACACCTCCTAGTCCACCAGTTACTCAGGCGAGAGCGCCGAACCATGTTTTGGCCTTATGCAGCAAACTTCTTTTCAGGTAAACATATACCAATCCAGAAGACGAGAGGAGAATGCCTGTGCTAATGTGAAATTCGAAACTCGTAGCGCTCATATACACACGCTCAAGCACAAGCACGAACCCGAGCCCGAGCAACAAGCACTAGCACAAGCAGCAGAAGTTCCTCAAGAAGCGACAGCAGCGGCCCAAACTCAATGGGCAAGTCCTCCTCCTCCTCCTCCAAGCTGCCAAAGAGCCACGCCAAGATTCACGCCAAAATCGACCGCATGGTTGATGAGCTTTCCCAAGTCTACGACTTTGGCGTGGAAATGCAGCTCATATCGCCGGATGAGCAGCTCTACGGCTCAATCAGCTTCATGAAGACACAATTCCACCGTTCTATCATCCGTGCTGCAAAGTCATCCTATCGAAGATAACTACGGTTTCTCTTTTTTCGAATTGTTTTTATTCTCTACTTCTTTATATATATTTTTACATATACACTATATCACGTCTATTTTATATATAACCTACTAGTAGATAATAGTTTGTAAGTATTACTAGGGAAATAATAGCTTTTTACTAGGTAAATAGTATTATATATTATACTAGTATTAAAGAGATAGATATAAAAACTTAATACTTTTATAATAACTTATAAATAATTAAATTTTAGATTTTCTTATATTAGATTTTATTTCTTAAAATAAACTTAGAGAAATATATATAGTTTTTTTACTATTAATAATATTATATTAGCTTTTTAAAGATAACTAACGTTAACTTAGTTATGTAAAATATATTATTAATAATCTATTAATTAGTTATATTAAAGAAAATGAAAAGAAATCTTATTTCAATAGTTAATTACTAAAGAAGATTTTTAAGTTTTTAAATAACCATTTAAAAATAATCCCATCACTTCAACAGGGTGCCTCTGTAAGCTAGCTTGCCTGGCTGTAACAGGCGGCCAAAGTGGGGGCGGGCACGAGTAGTTGCCCGCGAACTCGATACTCTCTTCTGCAACTCAGTGTAGGGTACGGTCCAGGCCCACGCATCAATCACTTTGGTGACGCCTATTTACAGTCACGACAAGGGATGAAGCAGATGAACAGCTTGAAACAAAATCTAATCAAATCTTATAGGAGCCTCTACGAATCTGGTTTGAATCTCAAGGCAATTACCAAGCGCGGAAATTGCCACTTCCGTCGCGCATCGACACGCACACATATCCAATTGTTTCTATTCAATCATGAAAAGCATAAAACTTCCTACGACAATGCTAAATAAATGACCCAAACCAAATGCCACGGGGTATCACTTCCAAAATAACGCCACGGTTTGCCGAGCTTGAACATCTCATGTCCGAGCTGTTTTAGCACCCTCTGATTGTCTCTCCCTCAATGCCTTGACCACCTTGCTGTAAAAGTTGGCCACCTGCGGTCTTTGAAATTCAATCTCCTCGCGGAGATAATTCGGGAGACCGGCAATCAAGTCAGCATCGCGATCAGACTGTAATTGCGGGTTGTATTTGACCAGAGAGTCTTCATAGCGCAATGTAGAGCTGCTGCCGGCAATAGCGAGCTTAAAGTGGAGTGCTGCGGCGTGTTAGAACACCTTCTCAACAGAATCTTGATAGACGAGCACTTACTTCCGTTGCGACCGGTCTGGATGCAGTCGAAAACGTCTTCGCTGCCGTGCTGCTTCACCCCTTGGATGATGAGACCCGTAAGATCTGCATACAAGTCTTCCTTTGCATGGGCGGCATGCACTAGTTCCGACTGACCCGTCCAAGCTCTTGCTGCGCTGCCCTTGACCGCGCTGCCGGGAACAGCGCTGCCGGGAGCGGCTCGACTTGCCGCGAGTTTGACGTTGAGGGCCTTGACTTGACGGTCAGCCTCGGCAAGTGAGTTCGTTAGCTCCTTGACCCTGTCGGAGAGATCTTGCGCATTGCTCTGGCTGTCTTGCAGTTGTACACGCAGTGAGTCGGCGTCGCTTAACGCTTGCCGTTGGGCAGCTAGCTCTTCTTTGAGTGTGGTGATGAGTTCATTTGCGGCTGATACTCTTGTTAGCGCATAATGACCTTGCGGATGACGATAGTTTGCAGTAAACTCACTCGCTGCGTTCTCGTCTGCCTGTTTGCGTAGCTTCTCATAGTTTCGTTCGGCGCTCTTGACACCCACCTCACGAAGCTCAGTGTATCGGCCCTCGAGATTCTCGTACTTTCTCGTCATATCGCGTAAACGGCGCTCCAATACATCATTATCTTCTTGTGTGCTCTGTGACCTGCTCCCTTGACGGGCATGCGACTCGATTGGTGCGGTTGCTTGCTGGCTTATAGGCACCATGACGTCTTCCTCCTCTTTCTCATCCTCCTCCTTTTGCTCGACAACATCCACCATGTCCAAATCATCATCGTCCTCTTCTAGCTCGGCCACAGATTCTGCTGCATAGCGGAAAACTTGATGCCGAGGTGATGATGCATGGCGCTTCGTTGTCGCGAAACTTTGCTTAACAGGTCGCGAATCTTCGAGTCGCTGCTTCTTGCCACTTCCTTTGGATCGACGTAAATTCAACATACTATCGTCGTTGATTACTTCGTCGCGGATCGGGCGAGCCGCTTTCTCGTCTCTGCTTTTTTGCAGTGGACGTGTCGCATTGAGGTTGCTCTTGTCTGTAAGCGCCGGTCGGCGAGGTGATTGTCGGCGCGGGGCTTTTCTGTCGATGGACCCTGCCAATTTCGATACAGGTTTTGTAATTCGATTTGAAGCCATGGTGCTCGCGATTGAGCTCTGTCTTTTGCGAGGATAGCTCTCCATGCCTCCAAGGTCTGAATCCGAATCCGATCCCACCAAATTCGCGAAACGCCCCGCAGTACGCACCCGGGTCGCCATGGCGCTCTCGCGTACTCGTGTCAGAAAATAAAAGTGAAGATATCGCGTAAAGGTGTACAAAGTATAAAGATTTGGGCGCACAGGAAGTTCGACACGGAAAGCCAATTGCGAACCAGAATGCGACCGTGACGGAAGAATATGTGTGGTTTATTTCCTCTTTTGGTTCGATGTAAACAAAATTGCTGGGGCGGGTCTTTGGCTCAGCGATTGTATTCTTAGTCAGCAGCCAAACTCGATTTTGCCCGCCCGACGAGGTGGACGTAAGCCGAGGCTAGTCATGTATCTTCAAGTACCGCTGATCGCGCAGTGGCGCTTCAGGCACCTATTTAGATTTCGAGAACTGTAGCTTACGTGCATTCGCACTCTTTCATGCCTTGACTTTTTGTAAAACAAATTGCATACCGAGTCAAATGGCTCACTTCTAACAAATTCGCAGCCATCAGCTAATATTGACCTTTCTCTGGTATCGGCTGTCTGCTCTCCACCTCTTCATGTGCAAGTCCACTATTGGGCGTATGGTACCTGTAGATACAACCTCCTTCCACACCTGCGTTGACCAGAGTCGCCATCCACATCACTTTCTCTTTTCACACATCATCTTTCACTTGCTCCAACTCCAGTCAAGCTTTTAACGGCTCTTCTGCCCTGTCATCCTCTTTACCGCAGTGCTATCCCATGCCCGACCAGTCAGCGTCTTGGCTACGCTGGGTCGTCGGTATGGGCGAACGTCGCAAACTTGGCGATGTCGCCATGGACCTTGTCCTCTTTGCTGGCATGGTATGCACCCCCCCCCCCCCCATATCTGCGTCGCTATCCAGGCTAGGGACGATTTTCTAACAGAGCGCAATTGACAGATGACAGCTGGTCTGTATATCGCGCGCAATTTCTTGAACCCGATCCTTAGCAACCTCGCCGATCCCGATAAGGAGAAGCACGATCAAGCCAGACAAAAAGCCAAGGCCCACCTCGAGCGCATAAACCGACGACGCCAGCATGAGGTGGGCGAGGGCAGCGATGACTTCGGAGATGCTCCCCGAGCTGAAGAGTTGGTTCTAAACGAATACGAGAATCTAGTTGCGCTGGAGATGGTCGCCCCTGAGGACATTCACGTTGGCTTTAATTGTGAGTAGGAACTCTTATGAACGCCAGCGTGCAATTCTGTACTGATGCTTGCAATAGCCATCGGAGGCTTGGATATGATTATCGAAGAACTCAAAGAGTCCGTCATCTACCCTCTAACCATGCCTCACCTTTATTCGCATGCGGCGCCGCTTCTTTCCGCTCCTTCTGGCGTCCTTCTCTTCGGACCTCCTGGCTGCGGAAAGACGTTGCTCGCCAAGGCGCTTGCTCATGAGAGCGGCGCTTCTTTTATCAACCTGCACATTTCTACCATGACCGAAAAGTGGTATGGCGACTCCAACAAGATTGTCAAGGCCGTCTTCTCCCTGGCTCGCAAGATGCAGCCTGCCATCATCTTTATCGACGAGATTGATGCCGTCCTCGGCACTCGACGCAGTGGCGAGCATGAGGCTAGTGGCATGGTCAAGGCTGAGTAAGTCAATGAGAAAACTTCAACGTATCCACCATGATTCTAACATGTCACAGATTCATGACGTTGTGGGATGGACTTACTTCTGCCAACTCATCTGGCATGCCGGCACAAATAGTTGTCCTCGGAGCTACGAACCGTATTCATGATATTGACGAGGCGATTCTGCGACGAATGCCCAAGAAGTTCCCTGTACCGCTTCCAGGCTTGGACCAGCGGCGGCGCATCCTACAGCTCATTCTGAAAGACACCAAGACCGACCCGCAGCACTTTGACCTGAACCAGGTGGCCAAGCTAACTGCCGGCATGTCCGGAAGCGACATCAAAGAAGCCTGCCGTGATGCTGCCATGGCGCCCGTCCGCGAGTTCATGCGTGAGAACCGCGGCACTGGTCGCCCCATGCAGAATGTCGATGCTTCGCAGTTCCGTGGCATCAGAACCGATGACTTTTTCGGCAACCAAGGTGGCCAGCTCCCGCTTGGAAAGGCCGGTTTACGCAAGGCTGGCAAGCGCAAGGGGCAAAGCAGGGCGACTGGAAGCACCCAGAGTGACGAATATGAAGATGTCGATGATTTGGTTGTCGAGGAGCAAGATTAATTTAGACAGGATATGCCCTGATGGATACGGAATATACGGAACGGACATGTACAAATACCTACACCACTTTGCACGATTATGCGACGATACACTTTTTTACCAAGACTCACCTTAGACTGCAACGAACGAATGAGAGTTTGCTCGAGTATTTTGATGAGCTTTTCGCTATACAAATGGAAGGACAATTCGATGTAAATCTTTCACACCGCGTTTTCCCGATTCCCAATCTAAGTAAAGAAATACTGCTTATATACAACTAAAATGAGTAAGAGAGCATGGCTGGAAACTGTGATTTATAAGTGTCAAACTAATCCTCCAGGTTGGCTTTTCCCATGAATTTGAGCTTCGCCACATATTGGTGGCGGATGATCCAGATGGTTATGGCCACGCCAACCAAGCACGACGCAAAGGTGATGCCGTACGCGGAGCGGTAGCACTCGAGACCGTCGTGGCATGAGCGCTCGCCGCTGGGATCAAAGACGCTGTGGTGGTCGAGGATGGAGCCGTAGATGAGGTTGAAGATGTTGGAGGAGAAGACTGGGGCGAGCGTAATGAAGCCCCAGTTCTGGCTGAGACCGTGAATGCCAAAAGTCTCGGCAACAATGGACGGAAAAACGCCAAAGAGCAGGCCGTAGGCAATGCCCGTGAGGCTAGACAGAAGGAAGAGGTAGATGGGTGTGGAGATGGTTAGGCCGCAGAATTGGGCGACGATGAAGAGGAGACCCGACGCGACCAAACACCACACTCGGCTGGCCCCGAGCTTTTTGACGAGGAAATCGGAACCAATACCTGATTGGACGGCAGTTAGCACGGAGATTTTTCTTTTTTCCTTTTTTT